AGAGACATCATAAATCACGCCATTCAGAAACATTTATTTCCCTTTTGTTATATATCAAAAACTGTGTATGTGGGTCATGCTTCTCTCATTTCGAGTAGAAGGTCTAATGTACATGTATCTGAAACCATATGGACATACAGTGCCATCTTGTGGCAAAAATTATAGTTTTTAAAACATTCCAGGACACTGGCACAAATACGTGACAGTCAGGGCTGAACGGGAAAATGCTCTGGCATGCCTGCGTGTCGGCCGGGAAGTGAGTGTGTTCGTTGCTGGCACGTAGACATGACAGTCGGCGCAAAGGGGTTAAGGAACAACGCAATCTTCAACATTGACCTGAAATAGATAATTAGATAATTTTAGCTTAGCTTATACCGTTCGTTATACATTAAACACGCGTGCGTAAACATATTATGCACATGCATAAAGGTATTATGCGCATGCGTAAACGCAGAGGTCCGGATTAAATACTTTTGACTGTATATATGTAGTATACATATTATACAAATTTTACATGTTATAGTACAAGTAACAAGAAATTGTATACCTGTATGTATTCAATACTAAAAAACCAGTACTTGTTAGAGGCATATCATTACTCATTAGTTTTGATACAATCAAGTAATAGTATAAAGCATTGCTTTGAGTTGTGCCACATATGACTTCGTAAAGTAACAAGAAAATGTATACCTGTATGTATTCGTTACTAAAAGAATCAGTATTTGTTAACAATCATATTGTTTTTCATTACTTTTGGTACAAACAAATGCTGGCATTTAGCATCACATCAAGTCACACCACATATGACTTCGTTCTTACTTTGCATATATGTAGTGTACATATTATACAAACTTTGCATGTTACTGTACTTTGAACTATTTTCATCTTGTTACTTATATTTAGATCTATTTTTGTTGGCTATTTATAAGTAGACTATAATTATATGATACATAAGTGACACGTTATAATATGATAAAAAGTAAATAGTACATTATGTGCAATCAGCTGAGTCATAATAATTGGTTTGTTTTAAATAACATACAACAACATTAAACATTTTTAAAAACTTACAAAAATAATTAAGCATTTGAGGAACAACAATTTATAATGAAGGAATCTCTGGGTTATATTTAAAAAGAAAACTTTAGTGCTTTTCACTTAGTATTTGGCCTGACTTTGGAAAAGTTATTTTGAATGGCACTGAGGTAACCATGAGCAATAAATATTTCTCATCCAAGCCTGAAAGTGTACAGTATTGCCTGTGCTTGCCACCATTTTAATGGACACTCATTCCTAGAAAGAAGGCATTCCTGTAGGTATTACTTTGTAGTGATGATGCTGGAAACAGTGGAGTTTGAGATCACCCTTGAATCAAAGTCTTTCCAGATTCAGTCATTATCAGTATCAGTAGATATTACTGGTGTGGATTCATTTGGCTCTACTGTATGTTGTTTTATTAATATTAAAAATTTTTAAAGCTCACTTTTGAGTCCCCTTTTGGCACACACATAACTAGATTCACATGCAAATTAGAATGCCAGCTTCTTAAACTGTGGGTCTAATAGCACTGTGTTAGCAAATACTGGATGCCTATAACAATTTTTTAATCTGGATTTGAATTCTGTTATTCTTTTGCCGGATAGATTTTTTTCCCCTATTTCTGAAATAATATTTATATATAAATTTACAGAGATGCTAATTATGCTTTCATTGACAGCTAAGACCATTGAAATATTGTTTGTATTGAGATGACCTTTTTTTGGTTAACTGCTTTTAAATGGCTTTAAAATTTTGATTATATCTTGAGAGCCTGCCAATCACTTTCTGATAGGTTTTCAACCAGTCTGTATAGGAGACCAAGGGCCCATTCAAGAGCATGCTGACGGATACGCATTCATTGAACAACCACTGTCTGTGGCTTTACCACTTGATTGCTGCTAGGCTGTCATTGAATGAAACAGAACAGTTAATTTGAACTCTGATGACAACAGACGTAAAATGAAGTTCCAAGCAGAAAGTATTGTTAATTTCTGAAGCTTATTACCAGTTAAAATTATAATTCAGTTTGCTTTAATGTATCTGTGCAAGAAAGGATTTTCATCATTAACTCAAATAAAAACAAAATACCAACATTGACGTGTGCTGATCTCAGACTTAAGCTTAATAGCATGTATCCAACCATAAAACAGCTGTGCAAGAATTGGCAGGCTTATCCTTGTCATTAATGTGAGTCCTAAGATTTATTTAATTTTTAATTAATAAGATCAAGATTATCCAAACTCTAATAGCATTGACTTATTAAAAACAAATACAGTCAAAATTCTTTAATCTGGACTTGTTGGGACTTCGGTGATTCCAGATTATAGATCATCAGTTTAAATCTGGTAAGATGGCATGCAGAAATTATAAAATTAAAAATATGAAACCGTAATTTATGAAATAAAGAGGAATCACGATCTAAAAAGTATCAAAATTAAAAAAAAAAAAAAAAAAAAAAAACGTAATATTTATTTGTTTACTTTATTAAAAATTTTTTTGAACGCGCGCATGCGTAAAGCATACATTACGCATAGTCGAAATTAGAAAATTGCAACCAGGAAACCATTTGACGTGTATTCGTGATATTTATAATGACGAGGAATTTGATTTAAATCATATCAAAGACTGAGTACGTCGAGATGAAATACTACATTTAGTAAGGAAATTATAAGCTGAATAAAATAAAAACATCTGCCTTGAAGATAAGGATAGTGCTGACAGATCAACTTACAGTTCATTGCGCACCGCGACGTCCCCCCCTACCCCCGCTTTTTGTTTAATGGACTTCGAAGCATACTTTCGCTTTGTAGATCCTTTACATATTAGTAAATATATATCCGAAATTCTATTTGACATAATCAAAAGTTCAACTTACTTTTATAAAATTGCTCTAACAGTCTGCAAAAATAATAAGCTTGGTCCAATTGAAGATTAGAACAATGCAATCTGCACATTAACGAAATAGATAATTAGATAATTTTAGCTTAGCTTATCCATCCTTTATACATAAATAAATAAACGTATTTGAGCATGCGTAAAAGTATTGCGCATGCGTGATCATATTATGCGTTGAGGCATGCGCAGAAAGTTTGTAGCTTTGAGGTCCGGATTATGGGTGTCCGGATTAACGACTTTTGACTGTATAACACTTATTTTATTAACTTAATTGATTCATACTATACAAAATTAAATAAATTTTAATTAATTGCACTTTAAAATATAAGTATGATGGTAGGAATGTATGCTAAAAAAATTGCTTTTGAAGGGAACAAAAGTGAGGTGGTTCACAGAACATTTTAATTTACAAAACTGGTCTTCACTTGAAAAATGCTTCTTTAAATGGATTTGCATGCTGTTGGAAGTTGATAAAAGTAGAAAATTATTGAAAAGCCAAAATAAAAAAACTCACTAGTTGATTAAATAAAACCTTATAACCCTTGTGAAATAATAAAGAAAAATAATAGATAATAAAAAAGAGGCTAAAATATATTGCTGAGAGCAACTGTTGTTAAATGTATATACATTAGTGTGCAAAATTTAAGCAACAAATTCATTTTTCAACATGCAACCATGAAATTGTTGAAAAGGATTTTTTGTGATCAGTACAGTGAAAAGGCAACTCAGTAGAAAGATAATGCTTATGAAAATAACAGCACCATTATGTCAGAGCCTGCAAAACACAGGGAGTGAGAGGGCACAGTACAAGGTAACTTAAAAACAGAAAAAAAGGTCCATTTCCAAGCATTCCACTGCTAGTGGAAGTAAGGCTGTACCTGCAGTATAGCAGCAATAAAATGCCAGGACACGTTTACACATAGTAGAATCATTGGCAAACCTGACAAAGGTCATAGTTTGATATCTGTAGCCCAAGAGTTAGGAATTGGTAAAAGTGTTATTTCACGAGCTTGGTAGGGACACCTTTCATCTGACTAACATCAGGGAAAGAGACCTTTGGGGTGACCCTGGACGTGCTTGTATGGGAAGGTACTATGAATAATGGACAGACGGAGCTTCACATTTTTGGCTGAGGTTCACTTACCAGAGATTGTTACTGTAATGAAGTTATCCTCCATTTTCTGGGGTCCATTGGACCTGACTTTGTTTTTATGGATGATAATGTACAGGCAAACAAAACTCATGCTGTTAGCATGAGATTTTGGAAGATTCCACAGAATGGATTGGCTAATGTGCTTCACTGATTTAAATCTTGTTAAATATGTGTGGGGTATTTTAGGTAAGTATTTAGTAACACCTAGCTACATGATCTTACCCTCCAGAGAACACCAAACAACTGACATAGATGCTTCTTGAATAATAAGAACATTAGATAATCTGCTGTTGAGTATTGATAGATAGTGCAATGCATCCATTGCAGAGTTAGGGGAGGTCATATCCTTTACTGAGGCTCTTTGGTTTGTTGTACTTCCTCTCGACCATACAGTTTTTTGTACCAATACCATTCTGTCAATAAAGCCTTTTTCTATTCGTTCCGTACTGTGTATGCCATATTAATTTTTTAATAGTATACTTTCCTCATCTTTTAAATACTATATTGGTCCTCTGTAGTGTGAATTTTATGTCTTCCAGTGGATTCTTTTCCGGAAGTATAGCCAAAATCAGAAAAGTTGCATTATTGTTGCACACAAGTGTAGTTAAAAATGTTATTGAATTTTGTTTACTAAAATGAGTGATTTTGTTACTGCTTAAAATTACATAGAGATATATAGTTAATACTCATTTTAATGACCACTTATATCCCATTGAAAAAGGGTCTTGTATTGAATAATAGCTCTTAACACTAAACTAATTTAATGTATGTCTACATTTGAGAACTTTTTGTTTCATTGTATATGATAATCAGTGGCATAGATGCTACAAGTGGTCATTATACTGAACATTGTCTATGTAACTTGTTTGTTTTTCATTATAATTCTTCATTCATTTATTTATTATCATTTCAGATTGAATTAAATGTTCTTCATTATTCAGAAAAAGTTGCTGTTCTAGAGATGAAATCAAATACAAATACTTGGTCACATCAAAGAAGAAAAAGGAGGGAAATGCTAAGACAGAAACAGTCAGATGTGAGTGAACTTGATGCATCTTCTAATTCTCCTCTTCTTCATTCTAGTCCAGATATTTTGGTTTGTGAAACTTTCAGTGAAGTAAGAAATGAACAAGATGTTGAAATACATAAGATCTCAAGTGATTCTGCAAATGTACCCTTTCCTGATTCTTATAGGAAAGAATCTAAACAAAGAAATCCGGAGTTAAAAAATGAACTGGTTTCTAAAAATATTCCAATACCTCTAGTAAATCTGTCACGAAGTGATTGTTTGGAAAGTACTGCTGTGACAAATAATGCTGACATGGTGAAAATATTTAATGAAAATGGAAGTATTCACACTGTAGATGGCACCGAAAGCACTTCATCTTCAAATTTGGTACTGAAACTTGGTGAAAATAGAATTGCAGGTGAAAGTGGGAATTATAATTCTAAAAATATAATTAATGAAACTGATTGTACAGAAGCACTAAATGCATCACAAGGATGTAAAAGAGAAAATGAATCTTTCAATTCCTCAAAAAAAATTAAAGCAGATTTTGATAGTGCTTCCGAGACTGATTCTTCTGAAGTATTAGCTATATCAAAAAGATATAAGAGAAAAAATGAGTTTGAATCTTCCACTTCTTCAAAAAAAATAAAAACAGACTTTGACAATGCTGCAGGTGTTGAAAGTAAATTTTTGCTGTTTTGTTGTTTAAAAATTATAAAAACTAAAAATAATATTATAATGGAAATGAATTGTCCATCTAATGCCAGTCGAGAAACAATGCATCAGGTATTTCAGTTTGTCAAAAATAAACTAGTCAGCATTAATTCTTTCTTGTAAGTCTGAGATTTGTAAAAGATAGTGTTTGGTTTTTATCTCAGGTTTTAGAATTAGTGCTAAAAAGAATATTTGTGAATAAATTTTATTATAACTGTTGTTAATGAAAGTGCCATTATTTTATCTTTAATAACTGAAAGGTAATATTATAAAGCTTGTTTATCAGTCATCTGTGTATTAAAAATAATTATGAATTTTTGCATGTAAATTGGTGATCTTAAAGCTAAAGAAGTGATATCATCCTTTTACAAGCATTATTAAAAATAACTATAATTTTTACTTGTAAATTGGTGGTCTTGAAGCTAAAATGTTACATCCTTTTACTATAAACATTCTTTCTAAAGCTTGTATCAGAAAAACATAGTGCAAAATCTAAGGCATATATGCTGGTATTGACATTTCTTGACTTTTCTGTTAACAACAAAATATTTCATTGATTTATTTACATTTGATTTGCACTTAAATAATTTAATTATCATTATACAGTACATTACCCGGACTGTAATTCGGACGTTCATTATCCGGAATGATCTATAATCCGGACCTCAAAGCCACAAACTTTACGCAGCACGTAGAAAATGTGCATACATTATGCATGCGCGCATTGAAAGAAATGTCTAATAAGTACAATAAATATTAAGCTTTTTTTTTTTTTTTTTTTTTTGCTGTGGGTGTGTAAAACTTGATACCCTTTAGATCATAATTGCTCTTATTTCATAATTACGGTTTCATATTTTTACTGTATAAATGCCATTCAACCAGATGTCTATAATCCGGATAAAAAACTTAATGCGGAATCGCCAAAGTCCCGATGTGTCTGGATTACGGACTTTGTACTTTATAGTATATTTTAATAACTATAAAAAAGGGTAAAAAAAGTATTTTAACACTTTTCTTTCGAGGGAGGGGGAGATCGAATTTTCGAATTTCTGTGTTCTTTACAAAGTGCATTTAATTCCTAAAAAATGTACCGCATGTGTGTTCTGCTGAAAAGAATTAGTTACAAATTGTATTTTTAGCCATTTTGAAAGATTAAAATATTATATATATGCGTACATATTTAATAATATTTTTAGGTACTTCTCATTTTACTACTTTAATACTATATTGACTATTTAATTTAATACTGCATTTCTTCCATTTTTAATTTAATAGTGCATTTCTTCTATTTTTCTGCCCTCCTTTTTTTATAAAACAAATATTTTTAATTCCCCCCTTTTTGTTTGTTTAGTTTTCTGTTTGTAACAGATAGTTTGTGCCCTGAAGTATTTTCTTTAAAGTAACTTTCTCTCACAATGTTAAAGATATTATGTGGTCTCTTTATTATCCATATATTTGTATATTCATAGTATTCTAAGCCATGTTTTCTGAACCAAATTTCTAAGATGAAACCTGATGGAAAAATTTAATTTTTATAATGTTACTCATAAAAAAATGCATATTTGATAAAAGCTAATTGTTTAAAAAAGTGATTTTCCTTGTGTATCCAAATTTATGACAATGAAGCTAAAAAAATTATTTTGAAAATGCTAAGTTATTATTAATAATTTGTGTATTCTCTCTTTTAAAAAAAAAGTTTAGTTAAAATACTTTTTTTTTTTTTTTGTTGTTGGTTTCTAAATAAATAAATATTCTCTCTTTGTATATTCTGTATTTCATTAACATCTTATGTAGAAGAAATTTGTGTTTAGAATCTTAGGCATATTTCAATAAATTTTTTAAAAAATCTATTTGAAAATATATAAAAACTGAAATTTTATCTTTCTTGCAGTAATGATAGCATTCTTTATGTCTCACACAGTATCATAAAAATTAGCCAAAGAATAGATGATGTATTCTGTTCTGTAAAGAGTATTGACATTTACATTTAAGTTTATCAGAGTTGTTAATGCACTGTCGAAAATCAAGAGATCTGAGAAGTAGTATAGATTGGGCTTTCATAGCAGCCAATAAATAATGTGAAAATTTTATATTAAGCCCAAAGGGGCTTTTTTTAACATTTTGTGTGTTGCCTTTATTTTTTAAATATCATGTTCTTTTCACTTAAACCATAAAATTCAGTTCAACAGCAATATCACAAATTATTTAAAAAGAGCATATTTTTAGAATTTCTGATACAGTCTCGTGCACTGAAGATATTTTTTGTTCCCTCGTACAGTGTTGCCATTGCTCACTTCAAAATCATTGAACTTTTACAAAGAATTCGTTAAACTTTTACAAAATATGAAATCGATTATAAAACAAATTCCAAATTTGGGTTTCCAGATGCGCATATTTGAGCGGATGACTATGTTAATCAAAATGTGATGTTTCTAGGTACCGTTGCTTTCTCACAATGTGAGAAACATACATACATTAATGCAGATTCTTCATTATTTAATTTCTTTATATATAATGCAGAGCTCTAATATTTGGTGGCAACAATTTGAAAAGTGAAATGCCGTTTTATAGCAGACGACGCAAAATACCAAAACAAAATTAATAGCCCATCTGGGAAAATTGCCCCTTTGGACTAAAAAAAAATCATATTATTTTAGGTCGGGTAGTCATTTGTTAAGTATGTTTATCATTTGTTGAAAAAAAATTTATAGCCTAGCTGTGTTTGATAGTTCAAAATAAAATTTAGCAGTTCAGAATATCATTAGACCAGCTGAAGTGCTTATTTAATATAGCTATTTTTTTTATAATGGGAACAGAGTATAATTTCGTTCGTGACACACAGTATCATCATGATACACTATTTTTGAAAGGCAGTTTGTTTTTTGATCAAATTCTAAGGACGATAACTTCAAAAGTATGTTCCTAACGCAGGATAACGAATAGAAGTAATTTAATTATGTGATGCATGAAAGTAGACATACTCTCACCCTATCAGTTTCAGTCCTGATACAAATGGCAGAGTTGAAAGTATGTTTGTAGGCTTTTTGAAGACTTTTACTAGACTTAGTTCTGACTGTAGCTGCTCTAACTACACTGTTCTTGCCACGATGAACATCGATGACATGCCCTTGCCAGATTTCAAAAATGTTCAACCGGGACACCGGAATGCCCCCCGTCGTCATGGGTATTCAAAGGTACACACCCTTGGCGAGTTTTTGGAGTTTGGTTAGAGGGTTGTTTATTCACAATATTATGAATAAATGGTTACTTAATAGGAACCTAAACCATAGGTAATAAATAATAAATAACACAAGCATATAAATTTAAACATTTTGTTTCTTACATGCTAATATTTAAAAGTTACTTAAGTAAGAAAAAACACTTTAAATGAGGGAAAAAAATTTTTGAACAATATTTACATGTACTTTTCATTGGCTAGGACGTTTTTTTAGAAAGTCTTATTTTGGTTTTAATCTTGTAAAAATCTTCACAAGTTAATCCAATATTAATTTTACATGTCATCAGACCTTTAATTGTAGATTCCTTCATCAACCCTATATCGTCCATGCATTGTTCAATCAAGAAATACTCTCGCACTGGGCTAATGTCCCAGTAAGCAGAAGACCTACACAACAATCTTTTTCAGATGGGGATGCTTTTAATTCTCCTTGAAATGATCAAACAGCCTGAGCCATTTTTCTTCACTTGAGGTAATCACAGTTCTGGTAGACTCTTCTTGCTTCCAGTGTTCCCTATTTGACTGCAAATACTCCTTAGCAAGCACAACTTTGTGAAACAGCTGGGCTAAAGTGCAGAATCGCGTGTATACGAGCCCCTTAGAAAGTCCTCCATGAAGGCATCCCTCCTCTAAGGCAGATAGCCCTCGAGGCTTTGCCGTAATTGAATAACCTAACCTAACCTAAAGTGCAGAATCGCCCACTTATTTGGCGCTTTTTACGAGATTGATAACTGCGATAATTTCTTTTGGGTGCAAAATTAGGAAATTTTCGCGCGTGTTCGGTATGTATTTTAAAATTTAGAATTTCTGATTGATGTAGACGATAATAGATGGTAGACGTGCAGTTATTTTAAATATTAATTCGAGAACATTTTGAAAATTCGTTACTTTTCGTTCATCGGCTGCGCGGAGTGGATTGCCCCTTTTCAGGTAAGTGAAAGTATTTTAAATTTTTAGTGTTTTGTAACGATTTTAAGTATTTGAAACTCACTATGTTTTTGAAACGATTCTTAGTTTTTAAAATTATGTTTTTGTAAGAACTGGATTTTCATATTTTAAAATTTTTTGGAAGTGAAAGTATTAATTTTTCAGGGTTTTGTAAGGATTTTATGTTCTTTAAACTTACTATGTTTTTGAAGCGATTTTAGTTTTTTTAAGTTATTAGTTTTTTTTTTTTTTTTTTTTTTTTATTTATTTCCAGTTTTTCCACTTTTTTGTTCCCACTTAATATCACAAGAGTAGGAAGAATTGGATTTTTGTCAATTTTCTTTGGCTTTTTAAGTGAAAATAGGTCGTTGTGTACATGGATAAAGTCAAGGGAGTGCGCAATGCCATTTTTGTGCAATTCTGGGATGTTTTTTTAAGTAAAAGTAGGTCGATGTGTACATGGATACCGAGTTTGTAAAATTCTTAAAAACCCATCAAGCAGTGGGGGATTCTGCACTTTCCCCAATCTTTTTATAGGGGAATGAATTTTAATTCTTCAGGGTTTTGTAACAATTTTAAGTTTTTGAAGCTTACTATGTTTTCTCAACCATGTTTGTTTTTTAAAATTATTATGCTGTTTTTAAAGGATTTTCAGTTTTAAATTTTGCTTCAACTTTTATTTTATATTTATTTTATCTGTTCGCCATTGTAAACGTCGCTCCTTGCGTAGTGTCTTTTGGAGGGTTTGCAAATCCAGGAGACAAGACGCGATAACGCGCCAAGTTTGCGATTTTGAAAAACGCGCCAAGCAGTGGGCAATTCTGCACTTTCCCCAACAGCTGATCAGTGTTTATTTGCATATCGGGTACATCAAGAAGACTGCTGTTAATCATTTCAGCAGAAGTCAGATTGAGCCAGGAAAACTGTTCAGCATTTCCAAAACTATTCTCCCAGAGGTCCAAGTATGCTTTGCATCTTTCGTAAAAGCCATCAAATTCTTCTTTCACAGTGTTACGGACTTGCTCGTCTAGATTCCTGTAGATGTTCTTTGCTCCCATAGGGATAAAGTTTGAAGCCTTTCTTTCTGTCAGGTTTCGTTTGAGAGCTTTATGAGCTTCAGCAACCTCAAAAGCTGTAGTGTTATCTTTTCCCATTACCAGGACGGCCTTGTTAAAGAGTGCAAGCTGTCCATGGACAAACCACAAGTACAGCTTGCCCGGTAAATCAGTAAACAATTTTTTTATTGTTGATGGGCACATTTCTTGGTCTAAAAAAACGCTTTCCAACCTTCAAAAATCCGTAAAATTCTTTCCAGCTCAGGTGTTCCCGTGTTGAATGAGTTTACGGTACTGTATCTCCGTATAATCACAAAATACTTTTAGTTTAGTTACACGAACTGTGTATATATGGAAGTATTTATAAATCTGATGGTATTTGTTTATAAAGTATAATTTTAAGTTTTAATATTTTGGCAACATTGATATTTTCTTAAATTGTAAAAGAGTAAACTGTATGAGTTAAAAATGTATTTGGCATCTAGAGAGTTTGTTACGGTTTTGTAGAATGCGGTAAGGTTTCTTATGACTAATCTTATTTACTAAAGTTTTCTTTTTATATATTATTATA